TACTGCAAGGTACCATACCACAAAGGGAAGGCTGGGATTGATTTTGGGGTAATTGCCTCAAAATTTTAGGAATTAGGGGCAAAAAAAGGGCAAAAAACAAGCATTTTTCTAGTTTCAGGACAATAACTTGTGTGTAAGTGTATGGATCTTTATGAAATTGCACTACAAGGTTCCATATCACAAAGGGAAAGCTGGGTTTGAGTTTGGGGGTAATTGCCCTAAACGTTTAGGAATTTGGGGCCAAAAAGGGGCCAAAAAACAAGCATTTTTCTAGTTTCCAGACAATAACTTGTGTTCAAGTGTATGGATCTCTCTGAAATTGTACTGCAAGGTACCATACCACAAAGGGAAGGCTGGGATTGAGTTTAGGGGTGATGAATCATAAGGGAGTTCAAAAAATTTTGGGGGGATTTTTTTCTATTTTAAGACTTTTATGATGTATTTAAATTATGGTTGCAAACTCCATTGGAAATTTGAATTGAGATTATGACCATATCTTGAGGGAAAGAATTTTTTTTTGGAAAAGGGGGGGGGGGAGGTGAAAAAAAATTGAGGGGGGGAGGGGGTAAAAAAGAAATTGTAGGGGCTATTTTTTTTTTCATTTCAGATTTCAGAAATTTCTTCAAATATTATTTCTTTTTGCAAAAAGAGGGCGGGGGGTAAAATTTTTTTTTCTTTTTTATTGGGAGGAGGGGGGTCAATACGCAACAGCATAGTGTATTTCACAAAAGCAAAAAATTGAATATAAATTCAAATCATATAACCAATTCTAAGTTCTTTGACTACAATTATTCGGTGTCAGAAACCTATGATGTGTCAAATATTTAATTACAATCCAAATTCAGACCGGTATCAAGCGCGAATATTGTGTCCATTTTTGCTCCAACTGTTCAGGTTGGACCTCTGCGGTCGTATCCAGCTGCGCTCAGCGAAGCATTTTATTGTCCATTTGTTATGATGAACCTTAAGCAGAAATGCATACGATCAAAGCCTTATGTGGGCGGATTTACCGGACTGCACCGTATATACAAATTTTGACCAGTTCACCAGCATTAACTTCAGATTTTTTTGTAATACTCACATTGCGGCTTGGATTCATCGGAGTCATCATTATCACTACTGTAACTATAAACTCCAGTTCCTTGTAGATTTACAAACGAAGCCCGGATACCTTTTTCTTTAAGTGTCGTCACTTGATCCTACATGATTGAAAAAAGTAAAATCACAAAAATATTGAACTCCGAGGAAAATTCAAAAAGAAAAGTCCCTAATGGGGCTCCCACAGGGTACCCCCCTCAGGTCGCAAGGTCGCTTTTAAATTCGTCGCAAGGTCGCGAGGTCGTTTATAAGGGAAATGTACAGGTCGCAGGTCGTTTTTATATTTAAAGGATGAATTTAAGTCATTGTTGTGTCGATTCTTGTGTTATTAAACAAGGGACATATATGTTCCTGATTAAACCTTTTAGTTTTAAATTAGATATTTGGACATTTTGCGGTGCCCTTGGGTTCGGATGTTCTTGTTTTGTTTGAGGCCATCCAGAGATGGCTGTCTGTAAGTGGGAAGTTCCTGCTCTATTGAAGTTCGTGTCTTCAGCTCTAGATTTATTTTTGTTTGACATTTAATGATCAATTTGTGATGTCTTCGTGCCATTAACCCATATCCGTTCTTTTCCATATTGAGACCAAAACAGGACTTGCGCTCGGCGCTTATTTCCATTTTCAATGGAACTCTCCCATTTTTACACAGTTGTTAGTCCATATCATGATAAACAGAGTACGGTACAAAATTTCATGAAGATTCGACTTGAAACGTTTTAGGAAATCATCTTAAACGCAAAGGTAAACCAAAGTCTAACTGACGAACGAACGGATGGACGAACAGACCGAAAAACTATATTTACCGCAACAATGTTGTCGGGACAGAAAACATGAAACTGATCAACAAACTTACTTGGATACATTTGTCTCTTTGGAGCACACAGAGACGCTAGTAGCTAGTGCCCTATGCGCTAGTGATGACCATCGCCCATAGTGTCCATAGTGTATTTGAAGCAATAACCCAGACCAACTTAAATCTTTTTTAAGAAACAAAAATGGTCCAAAAATGATCATAACTTGACAATTTGATAGTTTATCAGGCTCTAGAAACAAAGAATTCTAACCGACTATAGATACAAAAAGGGTCACAAATGGTCACAAATAGTTCAAAATTGATTATTTGAAAACTGCATGTTGATTTAAGATGAAAATCGAACTTAACTTGTACTTTATAGTGCTAAACAATTGGGAACAAATGAAATAAATCTTTGATCCGTTCTCAAGTTTTCATCTGAATACCACCATGGGACGGCCAGACAGATGGAAGTACGGACGGATACCCAACCATGTAATACTTCTCTACTGCGTGTAGTGGAGTATAATAAAGTAGACAAAAGTGTGACAGATGGCCGGAAAAACAGTATAGCTGAGCATGGTTTGTGGGACCAACAGTCAGCAGTTTATGTTTAATAACAGACATGTGATTTGGGCATTTTATTTTATCAGATCTACCATCATAATAGGTCATGACGCCAGCCGATTGTTCTTCCCGATCTATTTCTACTGGTGGGAAGAACGTAGTTTTCCGACACAGTTCTCTGAGGAACAACTCGGTCAACATTGTCAGTCTCATTTTCGTCCTCGTCGGATTCTTTTTCAGGGCGAACCAATTGACACTGATCAAGAAGAATGTTGTAGTCATCTTCATTAAGATGAAAATAGTCACAATGTTCTTCGTTCATTGAAGTATACTTTGACTTGTCAAGTTTCCGGATTATCGAATCTTTTGACTTTTTGTAGTTTTCTCTGGCAAGGTCGTTTTTAGCGTGTAAGTCGGAGGTCGTTTTTTCCAAATTTTACAGGTCGCAGGTCATTTTTAGAAGGCACTCAGGTCGGAAGTCGCCTCTAAAAAGCCCGGAAGTCGCAGGTCGTTTTTGACCCTGCGAGAGCCTCCCTAATCAAATGGCCAAAACCAAAAGCTCAAACACATCGAACGAATGGATAAAAACTGTCATTATCATATCCCTGACTTGGTACAGGCATTTTCTTATGTAAATGAAGTGAGTGGACATGTGACAAAAAAATATAACAATTCCAGTTTCCTCTTTCATAATGATCGGCAACAAGACGTTTCGGCCATGTAGCCCGTTCGGCCATGTAATAAAAGTCGCTTCGGCCTTCTTCTTCCAAGGAACCGAATTCATATTGAATGTGTATGAATATATATATATATATTATATTAATATTATATTAAAAGAGAGTTTGTTATTTATTTCTTCATCAATTTTATATCATTTAAAAAGTATTTGTATAACATGTAATACTTTTATAAATTACGTTTTTTTAAATACCATAGTGCATACCATAGATATAATAGCCATAGATAAAGTACTCAGAATTTGTCACACTGAGCCCCATGTAGTTTCCTTTGAAATATCAAAAGCAGGGCACTGCGCGTAGTGGCCTATGGTGTAGATGATATCTGCCGACATCCTCCCACTAGACTAATTACTTATCATAATTATATTTAAATTATCGGGCACTCGTCTTATCAACCGTTAATTAATATGCGTTACCTGTCTCAAGTAATAATATGCCGTGACGCGGAAGCAATATAAAGCGTCTGGTTGTAAAAGTTGTTCGGATTGTAATTTATTTGGAGAAAATCGGTCAACAAATGAAAAGGTTATGCTGTTGTTGAAATAATAAAATAGAGAAATCATGAAAAATGGACTTAACAGGCATGTACGATTAAATTGTCATAGCACTTGCATCGGTTGCACTCGGAAAATAAGACCTGTATGATTGACAAGAGGAGACATATCGTTTACTGATGGTATACGTGGTTAAGAGGTCGAACCTGGTCGAATTTTTCTATGGCGAGTTAAAGAAATTTCTTTTTTATCGAGATTCAAAATAGTGTAATCATATTTTATGCCAGAAAGAAGAAATTATTATTTTTTAGAAAAGTGTTGAAACTTTCTGTCGTAACACGAAGTTTAAGAAAATAAAGAGAAAAAAAGGAATACATTATAAACTTATTAAACGCCGTTTGGTGAAGAAAACGTATGTAGTGGACACACTGAATACATTAAATAATTGGGAAATAGCACAATCATGTCTCTGAATTTGTTTCTTCTATATACCTTTCCGCTTACCATTTTTGTGCTTGTTTTGCTATTAAATAGATGGTGGTATAATCTAACTGTCGATTTCATTTTTGAAGTAAACAATATATAGATTAAGCGTTATAATGGCTATGATAAAATGAAAATATAGGAGTTTTGTCCTGTGTCATTCGTGGTTTTTTCCTCTTCCTTCTTACAATTGTGTTAGAGGTGTGATTCGTACTATAAATACAGCTAAATATCCCTTCCGGCGCGGGACGTTTGCGCTTTTACATAGGACGTTTGTGCTTTTTTAAATGGACATTTGCGCTTTTTATATAGGACATTTGCGCTTTTACAATATTTACTTCTCATGACTTCCCTCCTATTTTATCCGAGCTTTGGACCTGGCAGAGTTAAAAAAAAAGTCGTTTTTTTTTATTATGGGTAAAAGTCATTACGTAGCACATTCGTGTGTTTTAAAGTCTCCCGATTCACAATTTATTAGATATCGATCGACGGCAATTGCCAATGAAGGCTAATTAACACCAAGCGTGACATGTATATAATAAGAGGGTGATAAAATTTCGGCATATATCATCTGCTTTTGATGTGGGTCCAGTACTTTATCTATGGCTATTATATCTATGTGCATACTAACCCGAATAATCCAGTCGTTATATTCCGCTGCTCTACGATTAAACTGGACCCCTGTTGTGTTCACTTATCGCTACACTGACGGTGCGAAGCTATAGATGGAACGGCGGACCAGTTTACTCTACGATGGCTACATTAACATTATTCGATTCTAACCCGTCAGCGTCATCACAACTCGGCCGATTCCGTACCTTCATCTAAGGAGAGTAGCGGATTCACCCGAGGATTGCCGATTGCCGTCAGCGTGTGAACTTCGTACAGGTCAGGAAATAGGACATCATATTGACAAATGCTGACACTGTTGTCTCAGTATAAACATCTGAACATATATGTAAAATATTTGTATAGGTAATTGTCTGACCAATGCAATTTTAGTCTTTCTTTACTTTAGGGTCCCTGAAATTTTTGAAGTCTTTTAGGGTTGGAACTTGGGGTTATGAATAAGGGTTTGTTTTTTTTTGTTAATCAAGTTTAGATACAATGTCAACACTCTAAGACATAAGCCCGGATTTACTAATATATTTCTACAAATTTATCTCAGCATGTTATCAGAAATCAGTTAGATATAAATTATATGGACACACTTTCTTAGTGGTTCACTAATTATAACCAGATGTTGACCACAAAATGATAAGCTATAAATTTATATTTCTCTGTGTCTTTCCTCCCGGCTTCATTGTATTTCTGAACAATAAATATGAAAACAAAAATTAATTTTTTTATCTTAAGAAAAAATATATTATTAATAATAATAGTATGCTCGTTTAGTTCATTGCGATATTATGGACAACTTTCCCTGCATTTGTATGAAATAAATGTGTTCCTTAACTTTAGTTTTTTTATTCCTTGTATTTCTTATACTTAAAAAAAATATACAATAAAAAATGAATAAAATTAATGGTACATTTATTCTAAATAAACTTTTTATTAGTGTTTTATTAATCTAAAAAACTTCTTACAATGCATTGAATTATTTCAAACTGATGTGAATTCAGGAAAAACAAAAAAATTACCATAAACGATTAGCCTAACCCTGACAAATGATCTGGTCTATGCCATAGATATTGGCTAAAAAAACTTTTTTAGTCCTCCCCCTTTTATTTAAATCTGGTATTTTTTTAGAGCTCTATCAATTGCAATTAATTTCACGTTTTTTTCTATACTATATGAAAATAAATATGCCCGAATTAAATTGTATTTGCTACTTACTTTCAATTCCAAGTTAACTATACACAGCGAGAAATTAATAGAAAAATTTTTAACACACACAGATTTTGAAAAAAGGGGAGGGATTTAAAAACTTCTTGTCCTTTAGTACTATGATCTATACATGATGGTGCCATATTCCAAAATTAACAATGATTTCCAAAATTCAAGTATAACAAGAGGCTGTCAGAGTGAAGGCAACTCTGACGGCAAACCAGATTTCCTGCAGAGGTCGAACACAGAACAGCCGAGCAAGTATGGACACAACATTTAAGCTTAAAACAGCTTTTAATTTGGATTGTGATTGAATATTTGACACAGCATAGGTTTGTGACACAAAATCAATGTGGTCAAAAGAACTGATTTTTATAATAAAAAAATCAATTTGATTACCAGAAAACGAAAAATATTAAGTACACCTCCAAATGACAATCCCCCTTTTTTCTCCAAAACAATACAATGTGTTAATCAATGTGTTCTCTTCTTTTCCATCATACCCATTATTGTTTGACAACATCAAATTATGTCATCCTTTTTTAAAAGTGTGTAATATTTGCTACTGTGCAAAACCATTAACATATTACATACTATAAATTGCAATAGAAACTTAATCCCTTTAAAATATTATCATAAATAATAATATAATTACTGTAATAGTTTTCTTTTTTTATTTCAATTCTGATGTCCAACTTTCACATGATCAAACTTTATTGTTCTATTTCTTTATCAATATTCACTAGAAATCATTTATACACATTTATAACTGTACTTTAAAATAAATGCTGAAAATAATATATATTAAGTAATGTGATATGTATGTGACCAGTTATTTAGGGGATAAAGATCAACAAACCCAGCATGATACATGGTCTGGGGTAATTGGCATTGGCATGATGTCTGATAAGACCACAGCTACAAAGTAGCTGGAAATTCGGGCTTATGTCTTAGAGTGTCAATGTAATATAGAGCAGGTTGGGTTTTCCCCCAATGTGACCTACCGAATTAGACTTATTACCAGGTTTTTACTAACAATTGAGCTACAAGATGGGTGCCACATGTGGAGCAGAATCTGCTTACCCTTCCGAAGCACCTGAGATCACCCCCAGTTATTTGGTGGGGTTCGTGTTGCTCAGTCTTTAGTTTTCTATGTTGTGTTTTGTGTACTGTTGTTTGGTCTTTTTCTTTTTTTAGCCATGGTGTTGTCAGTTTATTTTCTACTCATGAGTTTGAATGACCCTTTGGTATCTTTTGCCTCTCTTTTGGGGACAACCCGTCAATGTAATGACTGTCCCTTTTATGAGGGGTAAATTTCAAGTGATAATTTTAGAAGTACAACAGGGCACATATTTATATTATTTGCAGAACTTTTTCCAATATGTCTATCTGATATTATATTGACAAAACATGTCCATGAATTTTGAAATATTCATGGACTTCAATCTTCTTAAATAAGAGGACCCCTCTTTTAGAAAAGTTGAATTTTACCACTTTTAAGTTAATAACATTAAAATTTGTAAGGGTTCAGTGGAACCCAGTGTCTCCCCTACTTTTGCTCTTGTCTATGTTTTCAGTGTGATAGGGGAATGCACATAAATAGATTTACAGTTAATGAAATAAAACGTTTGAAATGTATGAAAAAAGTTATGCTTGTAGAAAATGAATACAGTATGCAATCAAATCTATAGATTGTCTGGAAGACAAAAGTCGCAGGCTCAACAAAAATGGGGAAAAAATTATTAAAAATTTTCCTCTAGATACTATCTTTTGATTGTAAGAAGCTTCTGTCCAAGTTTGGTAAAAATCCAGGATGGTTTATGAATCTAATAAATGTTTTAAAAACTTTAACTGCAGACTGTATGTAATGTTAACTGGAAGAAAAACTAAGTCCATTTATAAGTAAAATACGGAAAAACAGGAAATAAATTTTTACAAAATTTCCTTCTAGATACTAGCTTTTGATAAAAAACAAGCTTCTGTTCAAGTTTGGTACAAATGCAGGATAGTTTAAGAAAGTTATTAAAATTTTTAAAACTTTAACCACAGTGCATGTGAATGTAATGTTAACTGGCAGAAAAACCAAGTCAATTTATAACATGTATAAGTAAAATAAATGTTTTAAAAACTTTAACTGCAGACTGTATGTAATGTTAACTGGAAGAAAAACTAAGTCCATTTATAAGTAAAATACGGAAAAACAGGAAATAAATTTTTACAAAATTTACTTCTAGATACTAGCTTTTGATAAAAAACAAGCTTCTGTTCAAGTTTGGTACAAATGCAGGATAGTTTTAGAAAGTTATTAAAATTTTTAAAACTTTAACCACAGTGCATGTGAATGTAATGTTAACTGGCAGAAAAACCAAGTCAATTTATAACATGTATAAGTAAAATACGGATAAACAGGATTTTTTTTTACAAAATTTAATTCTGGATACTATCTTATGATCATAAACAAGCTTCTGTCCAAGTTTGGTAGAAATCCAGGATAGTTTAAGAAAGTTATTAAAATTTAAAAAATTTTAACCACAGAGTGAATGTAATGTTAACTGGCAGAAAAACTAAGTCCATTTATAAATAAAATACGGATAAACAGGATTTTTTTTTACAAAATTTAATTCTGGATACTATCTTATGATCATAAACAAGTTTCTGTCCAAGTTTGGTAGAAATCCAGCCAAAGACGGAATGTAGGATCGCTATGTCTCGCTTTTGCGACAAAAGTTGCAGGCTTGACAAAAAGGCTAACTTTTTCCTTTTTCTTTTCTACAACAGCTAAATTACCCTTTGTCTGAGGGACACTGTCCCTCATTTAAGGGATATCTCTCTTTTAGGGGGTTGTTCCCTACCTGTAGAACATTTGTTGAAAAATAAGTCACAGAGCTTTATATAAAATTTAAAACCCTCATTTTTAGTTTTATATTTTCTTCTTCTGTTTTGAAAATATCATATATTCAAGCAGTTGATATGTTTTGTTTTTTGATTTTTTGTATCAGGATTTATATATCAACCTTGTAGTTTAAATAGTATATAATATTGTACATTTGTAAATTCTTATACATGTTGTGTAGATTACTAAAATTAAGAGACACAAAAATCAAACCAAACTTGTTTTACCCTAAGAAGCTTTAATTTCACATCATTTAAACAAAATGTTAGAGATATAAAAGATACAATGTGCTTCATCAAACAAGATTTCAAAGCCTCTTGTGGTGTCCAATTTGAATTTTTACTGTATTTTTTTAAACATCAAGGACTGGTGCAGAGGAAGAGTTAATACCCCACATATACTATTATTCACAGTAAAATAAATCTTACATGTATATGAAAAATGTAGCTATTTTGTATGTTTTTTTCCTATCTGTTTAAATTTTATTTGTAATTTTCAGACAGTTAACAGTAATGAGCTCTGAATCTAGAACTGGCCCTGATTACACCAAGAAACCATTTATTGATAGATTCTTTGATTCTGCAGCTAATGGTAATATTGAAGAACTCACACATCTACTGAAAGGTAAGCAAGTAATTTTCATTAATCAAAATAGTCAGGTCAGTGAGAAAGGATAATGTAGAAATGTTTTTGAATGATTAAGGTTAAGTTTTAAGAGAGAAATGTGTTCTGTATACATTACTGTGAAAGTACTTTTATTCGTGGGTATCAATTTTCGTGGTTTGAGCAAAAGTTACATGTTCGTGGGTTTTTATACGACCATTTTCCTGACTTAGTACAGGACATTCTAAGAAAAAAATGGTGGGTTGAACCTGGTTTTGTGGCATGCCAAACCTCCCGCTTTTATGGCAACAACAAACACAACAACAAAACGACAACATTTCATGACGGGACCACAATACAAATAAATGGGAGAACATATAGGACAAAGAAACACACGAATAATAGCTAACAAAAGGTACTAGGCTAAAAATTCAATATGCCAGACGTGCGTCTCGTCCACACAAGACCAACCAGTGACACTCAGATGAAAAAAGTTTGAAAGCCAAAACAAGTACAAAGCTGAAGAGCACCGAGGACCAAAAAGGGGCCAAAAATAAGCATTTTTCTAGTTTCCAGACAATAACTTGTGTTCAAGTGTATGGATCTCTCTGAAATTGTACTGCAAGGTACCATACCACAGAGGGAAGGCTGGGATTGATTATGGGGGTAATTGCCTCAAAATTTTAGGAATTAGGGGCAAAAAAGGGTAAAAAAACAAGCATTTTTCTAGTTTCAGGACAATAACTTGTGTGTAAGTGTATGGATCTTTATGAAATTGTACTACAAGGTTCCTTATCACAAAGGGAAAGCTGGGTTTGGGTTTGTGGGTAATTGCCCTAAACGTTTAGGAATTTGGGGCCAAAAGGGTCCAAAAAACAAGCATTTTTCTAGTTTCCAGACAATAACTTGTGTTCAAGTGTATGGATCTCTCTGAAATTGTACTGCAAGGTACTGTACTGCAAGGTACAATACCACAAAGGGAAGGCTGGGATTGAGTTTGGGGGTGATGAATCATAAGGGGGTTCAAAAAATTTGGGGGGGGGATTTTTTTTTCCTTTTTTTCCTTTTTTTTCTTTAAATTTTTCCATTTTAAATTGGTTATTTCTGATTTATATATAAAAGCAAATAATAATGATATGGTTTGAATAGGTAAATTAAATTTTTTTAAGTTCTTGGACTACATTCATTCTGTGTCAGAAACCTATGCTGTGTCAAATATTTAATCACAATCCAAATTCAGAGCTGTATCAAGCTTGAATGTTGTGTCCATATTTGCCCCAACTGTTCAGGGTTCGACCTCTGTGGTCGTATCAAGCTGCGCCCAGTGGAGCATTTTATTAAATTTGTGGATTTTAGTTTTCTGAAGAAAATCATTTTGAAAATAATCGAGTGATGAATTTGAAGCCATCACAAACAAATTTTTTCGAAAAAAATTCACATGTTGTTTTATAAAGATTTGTGGGAGATTGCAAAATAAGGTACTCATTTTTACTTACTCGTTCGTCTTTCATTACTGACAACATTCATCAAATTTTTAATAAAATAATTGCTTTCGGAAATAAGCTGATTCGTCTATGCCTAAAAATTGTCTCGATTGAAGGAAATTGCAAAGAAAACATTTCAAGTGTTTCACACGTGTAATCAGAAGCGATGACACTAATCAGTGTATGTAATGTGCGAATCCTAAAATGTCATTTTTACTGTATCCGTGATGAATTTCTGATGTAGAATGATAAATAAACAGACGACAAATTCAAGATTTTTAAATAAAATAAGAAATAATATATAATGTGTACTGTTTTTATAGATTCATGATATAGGTATGAGATGCGGACGGGTTTTCATCGCACCTACAGCCATCCAGGTGCAAAAATGATACACAAATAGATAAATATTAAGAATAGTTCACGAACAGAGTGTGCAAGAGATTTAAAAGTAGCAGTTAAGTTTCATTTGCAGAAAAATGTACCTCTTAACATAATTATTAATGTTGTTTAACTTAAAACAGGTTTTGTTATTCAGCTTGTTGATATTGAATCAAATTCCACTATGCTGATTTTGTTATGCGATTCATGTTTACTGTCGAATAATCATTATTCGACAGTAAACATGAATCGCATAACAAAAACATATACAATAGAAATGAATCACCCTACAGTGAAAATGAAAGTCTATTATCCTTATTATAATGATACTAGACTTTCATTTTCACTGTAGGGCGATTCATTTCTATTGTATATGCGATGCATTTTCACAGAAGGGAATAAATTAATTTTCATTATATAAAGTCTTAATTCAGCCGACTCTCTAACAAAATTCATGAAGTCAGAAGGATTGATTATATATGCATACTAAGTGAGTGAAAGTCTGAGGTAATATATCAATAAATTCCTTAAACATGGTATTTATTGCTAATATAGTCAATTCTTTTTTCTCAAGTAATTTGCCCTGATCTATATGTAGGATAAAATTTATTCTTTCCTATGACACGTCATCATATATCTTGGACAGTTAAGCCAATCCACGTCACCGGAAAAGCAAAGTTTCTGTTTCGGTCTAAATCTACATCGCATATTAATAAATTAAACGTCATTAGAGCTTATTTCCTAATGCTTGTAGTTAAGAGTGTGGTTGGCCTTGATTGTGTAAATGTTGCCTAAGCATTGTAATTAAGATTGAGCAAACATTTATACAAACAAAGCAAGCAAGTCAACCAAACCTTTAAACTACACGTGTTAGGAAAATAGCTCTAATGGATGCATTTGAGATAACAAAGAGCATTCACAAAACAATCTTCATTTCACAATTGATTGAGTGGAAACATTTCATCTTGCACAAACAATTGACGCTTACAATCTTGCACAGTAACGAAAGTTTGAGCAACAGTCGAGTCACCTTAAATATGCTTGAATTTCTTATAAGTCTGTGTTACAAATAAGCTAATACGCAATTGTGAGAATACAAAGAAATATTGAAAACAGTTTATTGTTACATGTTTAAATGGTTCTATACCACGGGGTATAACCGCCGTACAGTTGATTCCAGATGTTAATTGCTACATCGCAAAGCAATGTTGGTAGATATACCGTTCTTATATTTACACCAAAGACTAATTGACTAACTGTTCAGTTAAGTTCAATGTTTATGAAAACAAAGTTTACTGCTCCTGGCTGCATTGTTTATCATTTATATTACATGAACACCATGTGACTATTTTAAATAGACAGGTCTGTGAATTACTTGTAAACATCGCGAAACAAACACTATGTGTAACTCAAACTTGATTAAACTACAAATAGAGCATACATGTAGTTGGTTGGCACTTTCACATAATGCGACTGTGTATTTTGTGCTTTGTTGTTGTTAAAATACATAATACGAATGAGAAATCCGTTGTTTTAATTTTATTTGAAGACATTTACTTGAAAAACTGACCTTAGAATTTTGACACTGTACGATTCATTCTCTTTGTAGTTTGTTTTCTTTCTTTAGTACCGTTCGTTGTACATTCTTGTACTGTTAGTTGTGCAAAAGCCTATCAATACGGTAGAAATATGTTTGACACGGCGTGACATATGTTCAAAGCTTTTTTAAGCGAGTTATAAAACTTTTCAAAGAAAATTTGTCGTAGAGAAACGTTATATTCATGGATGTTCTGCTCCAGTAAATTTTCAGATCCATAACAAGCTAATAGCAAACTCACCAACAATATTTGAATATTCATGATATGAACTTGGTTATACCCGTGTATATTCAAGTAAGCATCTACGACTAGCTTGCATTTCAAATTGTAAATATCATCAATATTAAAGTCATTTAAAAACTATTTTCAGTTGTTGTATGTCGAATGATCATTTAAAAACGACAATGAAAATTCATCGCACTTCCAAAAATTCCACATCAGAAATGATTGTACTTACAGTGATAATTCATCGCATCTATAGTTAAAATGAATCTCATTCAGTAATCAGTATTATGGATTCTGCTGCTTAAATAACACTTTTTTGGACTTTAATCCTGTTAATATACATTAAAAAGTTATATTCTAATGAAATTCTGTTAAAACATACATTCAAATCTATTAATTTGTATTTTCAAAAAGTAAACAAACACAGTTTTTCCCATCATATCCTTTATTCTACAATAGACATACTCGCATACAACAGTGAAAATGAACTAACTGGATTCACACTTTATATACACTGCTAATATTATAACCAAGATCAAATGATCACCAGATTAACGATCATCAAAGGTGTTAATTGGGCCATAAACATGTCACTTAAAAGAAAACAGTTACATAACAAATGCTATAAATATACTTTGATTTGTAGAATAATTTCTTGTGAAATAAAAAAAAAACAAGCTCAATATGATTTTTTCGTAGGATAATTATGAGGAGATAAAATGAACACTTCATCATCGCACATCAGTGGCGGATCCAGGGGGGGTTCTCTAGATTATATGCCTGTATCCATGTAGTCAGACCTACATGGATATCTTTGCATGTCTTGATTTGGACAATAGTTGTTATATTTCTTTGGACACTTAAATTCTTGGGTAAAGCCATCCTCGAAAACCACAAAAATTGGTACCACACGAATAAAAGTACTTTTACAGTAATAGAATAGCTTAGAGACCATATCAATACATTTATAAGCAGATGAATTATAATTTTGTTTGAAATATATTTATAGTTTATTACATACATTTATCACATACATTTGTATTTTCTTGTGCTATAAACCTTGTTTTTTCATTGTGATATGGCATAAATTCAACACACTTATCAAACCAGCTTGCTGATGCTCGGGTAGGGCTAGGATCTTCAGTTATAAATATGAGTCTCTGTATGATACCAGGGCCGATATGGGAAATACCAATTTAAAATCTGTGATTTATATAAACATAAGGATTTGTATTGTGAGATGCAAATCTTTAGTTATAATAGACAAATTTTTCTATATTGGCCCTGGTATCATCCCTTGACTATTAATTCTGGGGGTATTGCCTCAGGATGATACTAATCGGGTTATAAAATTTATAAAAATAGAATTAGAATGATAACCTTGTTTTTGACTTGCTGATACTGGCATAAAGAGGACAGCATTTATCAGACCACCAGGCTTATATGAGGACTGACATCTGCATCCTATGCAAGTTGAATTGGAGGACCTTATCAGCTGTCACATGCAAAATCCATATTAACCCTCTTTTGATTTATAGAGTCATTTACGCTTTTGCTGAGAGTAGAAGATATCGGACTTGATAACAGATATATCAATTGTTTTATCAGCAAAAACTGTCCTGTACAGCATGATTATATTTGACTGTCAAACGTATTGGTTGATTGTTGGTGTATAATGCCACCTTCAGCACTCTTGGCTATATAATGGGGGCCACTTTTTATTGGTATCAATGAAGATAGGAGTCGAAAGCACCTGCCACGAGTGGTGTTTGAGTGCACAACCTCAGTGTTGACAGGCTAGTGGTAGTTGTAAATAAACTACTTAGACCTCTTGGCCTACCAAGGCTCACTGATATATTCATGGTTTCAAGAATTATATGGTCATAAATAAAGTGACCTTACTTACCTATGTACTTGTACGTTGTTTTATTTAATGCCATTTTGTCCCAGGTAAGAGTTGTCTTATTGATTGAGTTAAGCCATTTCAATTGATATTTTATAGTGTGTCTTTTTATGTTGTAATGTTAAACTACTGTCTCAGCTTAGGGAGAAGGTTTGCGCCTGTTAAAACATTTAAATGTGCTGCATTTTTATGCACCTGTCCAAAGTCGGGAGTCTATTGTTCAGTGGTTGTCGTTTGTTGGTGTGGTTCATGGGTGTTTCTCATTTCTCGTTTTTTATATAGATTAGACCCTTTGTTTTCCTGTTTGAATTGTTTTACACTAGTCATTTTGGGGCCCTTTATAGCTTGCTGTTCTGTGTGAGCCAAGGCTCCATGTTGAAGGCCGTACTTTGACCTATAATTGTTAACTTTTTATACATTGTGACTTGGATGGAGAGTTGTCTCATTTGCACTCATACCACATCTTCTAATTTATATTAGCATTAACGTCAATCATAGATAACATGATAACCTGTGATTAACCTTGTGCAGTCTAGAGCAATGTTTGATTATTATTGAGTATGAAATGTGTGGTTTATTTTAAATAATGACTTGTGTGTATGAAAATGGCAAAGGTAAATGTGCAAACTATATATATATATAAATGTACAATTATCATGTTAACAACTTTTAAATAGATTGTAAACGTAAATGTCATTTTCCAAAAATTCATCTATTTTTAAAACAAATGGAAGTCTTTTGATTTCAATCTGGATTTTAGTCATGTTTGCATTAAAGCTTATTGTAATAACTTGAAGTGATGATATAGTATGAATAACACCTCCACCCAATGTAGATATAAAATATGTGTCTCTTATCATTGAGAAAACATTATCTCTGTATATTTGTTTTTTGTTTATTTTTGTCTGTTTTTGTATTTGTATTTTGTAAAAATCAGCTGGTATCATTCCTGTATTGGAATTTACACCAATAAAATTATTTGATTTGATTTGATTTAAAGGTTGTTAAATATTCATTTTCTCTTTTGCAATGGTGTGCACTTTTTAGATACATGATTGTATTTCAATTATAATCTTCATTCATGTTTGCACAGAAATTCAAAATTGTGTAGTATGAAATTTATTTATATAGAAGGATTTATTAATATATAGCAGAACCTTTTTTCATTGCAAAATGTTTTATTTACCACAGCTGTATTGCACAGAAGTTATATAAACATTGTTTAGATGCAGAAATGTAACTACCACACTGAACCATGTAAATTGATAATGCACAATTGTTATTATATAGATTTATTTTTGTTTTAATTACAGCTACAGTAATAGTAGACCAGAGAAATGACAATGGATGGACTGGATTAATGCTAGCTTCAAGATATGGTCATACCAATAGCATCAAAATATTTTTGGAAAAGGGGTTTGATGAACTTATTTTTTGCAGTTAAATGATCAATGAACAGTAGAAGTAAATTTTACATCCAAAGCAATATAAGTGTTAACCTTTTTGCAAGTGTTCAATTTTGTTTATGAATAAATTGAGATATTGAATAAACAGCATTGACACAGCAAGCTAACACCATAACAAAAACAACAAAAGCTTATCTTGATTGAGATTAATAAGAAATTTTAAAATAAGTTAGAACCAGTAGTTGTTTAAAACAAAATTTGTCAAGTGAAACAGGTCAAATTCAGATGACTTTAATTAAGATTAGCTTGACATAGTTGCAAATACAATATAGTACACGTTTACATATTTATATGTTTACATTTTTGAGGATTTATTTAATGTGTAAAATATGTTGGACCATAGAAGTATTATATTGACAGGAACTCCAACGAAAAATTAGCACATTCCCATCCCACTGATTTCTTTAAGAAATAAAAGGTTCCGACTCAGTTTGTCAAGTACGTGATAACTCCTTTGTGGGGTATCTGTGATGCCGCCTTCGCCTGTTCTTTTAACTTTAGCTGGTCTTATCACGTGATTTGGTATCGATTGTCTTATCTACCTACCAATGTAAATAAACACGGAAACTCCCGTGGTTATTTGTGAATCGCCACATGAATAACAACACCTGTTTCCGTTCAATAAATGAAGAACAAAGCTGAAAAGATCGAAAAAATCGGTCCATAGTTAACAGAATGACATAAGAAAATTAACTGCATTCGGAAAGAGGGCAAGCTTATTTTTAGTTTTGTTGAGTATGTTTTAATCATTGGAACTTGGAAATCGGGAAATATCCGATTAGGAAAATTACATGATTCTGAAGTAGAGTGTTTGCAAAAAATAATGTGATGCGCGTGTAGTGTGCCGGATAACTCAAATTTTAAGTTAAAGATTGTAAACTTTTATCGAGTGTAACACAAATATTTATGGTTTTCTCTATCGTAAAATATCGTAAAATGTTATTAACTTATTTATCAAATATGTTTTAAAGACTAAAAGAGGTTAATAATTACACGCATGTGATGACCTCTACATAGCAATATCAGGTTACGAGACATGCAGATGAATTGTTACACCTTTTATAATAATTCCAAAGTTGTAAACAACCTTAAACATTCAACCTAGTCCGAGATTACTCTGACGTCTGACAGATTTATTTTTACGGATGGCTTTAAATATTTGTGGATGCATTTAAAGAACGATCACCATGATGGGCCCTAAGCAGTTTATTTTTTTTTTATCATGGAAACCAAATTAGAATTTATTTATGTGTTTAAAAGCTTAACAGTTCTGAAACATCTTACACCGTGTGCTAAGCAATTTATGATTTTGTTTCTTGTTTAATTGCATGAAATATTTGCCATTGGACTTTCAGTAAACAATAAATCAAAATATTTGATATTTTTTCGGATCAAAGCTCTTTAACCCCGTCCCCCCCCCCCCCCCCCCCCCGGCCAACTTTTGGATTAAATTTTTGTTGGAAATTCTTTCATTAAACACTTCAGTAAAATATTTGTCAAAGTTAGCAGTAAAACGCGATAATAATTACTGATAAAAACTTTTCCGTTTACTTTACATGAGAATTTTATGATTTTCAAGCCTAACTTGTATATAACAGTTACGCGTGTTTAGCCAACGGCACTCTCATGAATAAATCTTACTATTTTAAAATTGATTGTAACTTAAACTGAAATGTTTATGGCTTGTGAGTATTTTTATTCTTCAGTTTTTTTTTTTTTTTTGTCTTTTTAATCGGTGAAAACAGTCGCGGGGATTTCGTTTCGTTTCTTTTCTTTTTATTTGTTTTTAAGCAGCAAAACCCGTAAAAACTGACATTATATTTGTCATTCACATGGTCGGTAAATGTCATTTCCTTGACAATTAAGTACACATCCGGTTATTTCGGTATGTTCCGAAATTACGATCATTCACGAGGTTCCAAAAATTTTATCGGAACCCATGCATCCATAAGACAGTCGAGTTAATTAACAGATACTTAACGATTTTGCGGCATCGCACTATAAACGTTTGAAGTCCGCTTGTTGGAGTTCCTGTCAATATAATACTTCCATGGTTGGACCTTCTCAGTATAGATGTGAGACTATCTAAAATGACTTTCTAAAAGGTCAGGAAACCGGGTACAATTAAATCTATGCTATTGTCAGCTATCTTTTTTTTAAATATGGTTGTTATCACTTAAACATCAGAAACAGGCAGATGATTTTGCATTGTCTTATGAAAATTTGTATTTCCCCGTCATACCCACTTTTTACACATAAATCTGTACATGGCCTTCTCCAAAAAATCATTATGAAAATCATAATTTTAGTTAAAATGTGAATTGATTTAACCTACTTCTTATTAAATATTGTATTGCATACAACAACAAAGGCAATAATGTTGAAGTTTTCCTCGTTTCTAAACCTTAATAGATAACTTCAAATATTGTTGAAGCAACTTCCAAATAAACAATAAATAAGGAATTAATTTGGCATTATAGTATTTATTTCATCACTAAAAACTATTACAAGTCGGTGTTGTCAGATAAAAGCATGAGATTTCTTCTTTATGATTCTTGAAAATTGTTATAGATAGTACAAGAGCATGGCATGATATTGTGACAAGGGAGATAATTCAAATAATAATTATTTCATTAGAACAACTCATTACATTTTAATGGAATTGTTTATATAGCTTTTGCTGTGCTACAGAAATAAAATTAAAATTAAGCTAAGACGTAAAGCTTGAAAAGCTGCTCTAAGAAGAATTTTTTTTTCAGCTGTGACGTCAATCTTGTGAACAAAACAGGACAAACTGCATTAGAAATAGCTCAATTCTGGGACCAATCAGAAGCAACTACTTTAATCATGGACCATGTCAAGCATGATAACCCAGATAAACAATTACGGAATTTCTTTTCCTATAACCCATTACGGAGATGTGCGGAAAAGAGGAAAGACACAAATTGGTTAGAAAATAAAATGAGAGAAGATTCTACAAAATATATAGCTTTTTGTGAACTGCAACCTTTTGTTTTGTCTCTTCCTGATAATAAATGGAAATACCAAATTATTAGATTCTGTTACAGTGATATTCAGTCATGTATAAATGACAAGAATTTGGTTGTTTTTCTTGGAATAAATAAAAATGGTGATGAAACTGAGGAACAAGCAGTATTTGCTATAGATGTGCCTGATGAAAAGAAGTTAAAGACAATAAATCCAGATGGTACTTTATTACAACCTTTTCCGGGTTCAATGATGCTAGAACCATCTGAGGCAGGCATTTTAGCTGAGGGTCGTACAATGTTGGACTGGTTGGACCGATACAAATTTTGTGCAACTTGTAGTAGTTCTACAAGTGTTACAGAAGGTGGTCATAAAAGGGTGTGTGATAATAAAGAATGCAAGACAAATAAAGGTATGTTGTTGAAAAACTGCTGTTGTGATGTTGTTTTACTGTTGGATTACTTTTTTATAGATGTATAGATGTAAAACATTATTAATTTATTGGATGCACTACATTTTTTGTGAACCCCAGAGATCTTGAATTCTTTTTTCACCTATTGGTCCTTGAAGAAAATCTGCTGGTCCTCACTATTATTTCTATTGCAAAATACCAAGATTGTGTCAGTCCTTTGAAAATTTTGGTGGTCAAAACCCTTGGACCACCACTTTTCAAGAACTGTGGAACCCATGGTCAATGACAGAAATAGAAGAAATCAGTATCCCTAAATCTCACAGTATTTAGTTAAAGCTGTTGGCATCCCAATCTAGGAATGAAATACAGGGTTGGCAAAGTATTACACGAGCGCGGGTTTTCCAAGGCTGGGCAATACTATAAACGGGCAATACTGGGTAATATGATTTTTCAAGCTTATTTTTACACATAATAGTAAAGACTTGTTGTAGTTTAATAGCATTATAGCTAAATATATACATTTTATACAGATAGCCATTGAGAGTCATTCCTGAAGATTGAAAATTGAAAATACCTTGTTAATTTCCAAGCTTTGTTTCAATATTAAATCCAAGTTGAAAAATGCATTTTATTGCAGTGTTTAAGTGAATTGTAAATTTTAATTGTTATACGATCATATTGCTAAATAAACACCCTAAGGGGACAGGCCATGAACACTTATAGAGGTGTCAGACCACCAATTACTCCCTCCAATTTAGAACGTATGTGAAAGTAGGCCTACTCGGACAAAAAATAGTGCATTTGATGTCATTGTTTACTTAAACTACCCAACAAATTGGCAGAAATGAAACTTTTGGTGAAAGAGAAATATATTAAGACCATTTTGAGCCAAAATTTACTTGTCTATGAGTTTGCATTCAACATTGAGGATTAATGCACTCTATAGTATACTAATTTAAGATTTCCAGAAAACCAGCGGTTATTTCTAGTGGTACCTCTATTCGGGAGGCCTCTTCTTTCTTATATGATTTTAAAGGTATGTTGGAAATTGGCATGTAGAAAGCTGATACATGTACAATTCAGGATATACCTGGTTTCTATGAAGTTAAACTTAAGGTAAAATATTTAGAAAGCTGTGAAAATTGCAAATTTTGGTTGAACAGATTGGGACTTTTAATTGGTGGTCTGACACCTATAGAAGGCTGATTATTGTAATATAAACAAATCTGTATTATTATCTGAATAATTACTAATTAATTAGTGATGTACATAAACATATGCTCAAACTTAGTAAACGTTTTTAGTAATGAACAAAAAATGTTTAAAAGTAATTTTCCTTACATAGATTTGTAAATTCTTAATATAAGTTATATTTATTTAAAAAAAAAATGAATTCTTCGACTTTAGTGTATTGTATTTGTGATTAATCACTGAATCCTCTTTAAAATTCAGGCCAGTATTTCATATTACCCAGTATTACCCGGTAAAACCCAGTATTTCCCACTGGCCTGGGCTGAGCAATACTCATAAAACCTGGGTTTTTGCCAACCCTGATGAAATATTCATAGATGTATAACTATGTACAGAGCAGTTAATTGTATTTTTTTTTTTCTAATATGAAAATGAAACACAGGGTTTACTCTTGGCAATTTTAATATATAGCAAAGATGAATTTTTTGTTCTCATCCAATCTCTATACTGCATTACATGTACCTGTTTCATAACAGCTTATTAGCATTTTATACATTTACCTGAGTTTAATTTTCATGTCATGTATGTATATGGATCAATGGACTACAGTACATGTTTGCTGCTCTGTAGACACTGTAGTTACATTGCAACTGGGATTAGAAATTGTGTTGAGAAATGGCTTGTATTATTAGCTCACCTGGCCCAAAGGGCCAAGTGAGCTTTTCTCATCACTTGGCGTCTGTCGTCCGTTAACTTTTACAAAAATCTTCTCCTCTGAAACCACTGGGCCAAATTTAACCAAACTTGGCCACAATCATCATTGGGGTATCTAGTTTAAAAAATGTGTCCGGTGACCCGGCCAACCAACCAAGATTTCCACAATGGCTAAAAATAGAACATAGGGGTAAAATGTAGATTTTGGCTTATATCTCTGAAACCAAAGCATTGAGAGCAAATCTGACATGGGATAATATTGTTTATCAGGTCTTTTCAGATGAATGGGACAACTTGTTATGTTGTTGCTGCCCCTGAATTGGTAATTTTAAGGAAATTTTGCCGTTTTTGGTTATTATCTTGAATATTATTATAGATAGAGATAAACTGTAAACAGCAATAATGTTCAGCAAAGTAAGATCTACAAATAAGTCATATGACCAAAATTGTCAGTCGACCCCTTTAGGAGTTATTGCCCTTTATAGTCAATTTTTAACAATTTTTCGTAAATTTTTATAATCTTTTACAAAAATCATCTTCTCTGAAACTACTGAGACAAATTTAACCATACTTGGCCATAATCATTATTAGGGTATCTAGTTTAAAAAATTTGTCCGATGACCCCGCCTTCCAACCATAATGGTTAAAAATAGAACATAGGGGTAAAATGCAGTTTTTGGTTTATATCTCTGAAACTAAAGCATTTAGAGCAAATCTGACAGGTGGCAAAAATGTTCATCAGATTTAGATTTATCTGCCCTGAAATTTTCAAATAAATCTGACAACCCGTTGTTGGGTTGCTGCCCCTGAGTTAGTAATTTTACAGAAATTTTGCAGTTTTTTGTTATTATCTTAGATATCATTATAATATCTAATATCTAATACTATTAATTATGATTTTAACCTTATTTTACATGATTTCCAAAGCATCAGTAAATACAGGTGAGCAACACAGGCTCTTGAGAGCCTCTAGTTTACATCATTGTTTTACAAAGAAAGCACTAATAAATTGCCTTTCAGATTTTTCTGACAAGGTATGAAGTTCCCTCTTAATAATACAAATGTTCATTTCAAAAGCAGTTGATACATCAAACTAATTTTGGAAATTAATAACACACCCTTTCTCTTATTTGAAGGAGTTCACAACACCTGTTATCCAAGAACTGATCCTTCAGTGATAATGTTGGTTATCTCCCCTGATGGAAAGAAATGTCTGCTTGGAAGGGGTAAACGTTTTCCCCCAAAGATGTTCTCATGTTTAGCAGGATTTATGGAACCCGGTTAGTTGAAATATGCTATGATTGAGAATTTATTATATCTGTACAGCTTAAAATTATTGTATATTCTTGTGACCAATAACTCAATAAATCATTATATTAAGGATTACAAATGAGTCAAGTTTTGTGATTGGATAACAACACCGACATGTCAGTATATATTCAGGAAACTGCCGAGGTATATATATGACGTTTTTTACCCCAATTGGAACCTCAAAAACAACATCATAACAACTTACTAGTGACATAGTCTTAAGCTATACAGAACACTTAAAGAACGTCAGAGGCTCACAGAGGGAAAATAATGATATATTTACGTCAATAATACGTTTTTAATTTAAAATCACACGATTTACACATCAAATACTTGAATAATGTCTTAAAGTGTTATTACAAATTATTGCATACACGATAGAATTATTTCCACAGCAAATTGCAAAATCCCTTACGTATGCGGAAAATATAAAGGGCCTATACTGCATGGTGAATGTTTAACAAATACCTGGTACTGGAAAGAAACATTAAGGCAGGGGTAATCCGTAATATATGTGTAATTCAGGTGTCAGAAAGGGTATATAATGTGACATTCCAGGCTTAGGGTTTATATCCCCTTTGCCTTCGACTCAGGGAATATAAACTCTAAACCGGGAATGTCACATTATATACCCTGTCTGAGACCTGAATAACATATAATGTAAAAACATTTGTTCATTTTAATTTAAAAATACATTTGAGTTGATATATTAGATTATTGTTCATGTTCATGTACATATTGAACATTGTTATAACTTCTGTCATTTTTAGAATGCAATGCAATAGAAAGACATATCCTATAGTTTTTTGGGAAGAATATGTATATGTGAAACTCAATATTCCCATTTAATACACCTTACACAGAAAACTTACAATGAGCTATGTATTTTGAATGCTTAAAAACAAAAATAGACACTTTTAAAGAAATTAAGGTAAAAAAGAAATTCTTTTTGAAAAAAATCCTTGACAGTATAAAATATATTCTTATCTCACTGTGGACCTTTTTCAATAGTAAAAACTTATTTCCACATACATATCTGTATGTTTTATTAGGAGAGACAATAGAAGACACTTGTAGACGTGAGGTTCAGGAAGAGTCAGGAATTGAAGTTGGGCGTGTTGATTACCATTCTAGTCAGCCATGGCCATTCCCAGCTTCCTTGATGCTTGGTTGTTTGGCATATGCCAAAACAGAACACCTAAAGGTATATTACTGTAACAGCAAATTGTCACAAATTATCAAGAATATATGATAAGAATTAAATGAATAGCTAGGTTTTATGTCAGTCTGACAGTGAAGCAAAATATAGCTGTCGGTAGCTTTTCAATTGTCTAAAATTTGATCCCTATTCAGATGGATGTTAGTTTAAAATTTTTGTAAATATATATATGGCAACCTATGCAGAAATTTTGAACAAACTTACACCATGAATGAAGATAACCGATATTTAAACATAATTAACTACACAAATCTGTTTGTTTACAGAAACCTGAAATGAAGACATTTGTTTTCTCTATATTACTAGTAAATTTTTATTTTTTTTACATCTTGGTAGTACTCATCATAATAATTTTCTGACACATTTTGCTTAAGGCATTTATATTAAATGCATTCAATGAAAATTGCTAAAACAGTCCAAATTTCTTTTTTTTCATTGACATTTTGACAGGAACAATAGCTTTGCCTAGCAAGATGTGGTTAAAAATTTTGTTTGGTGTAAAATGAAAATATATTTTAACACTTTATTGATTTGGTGCATTCAAAGCACTTTACTGAATTTACCTTCATCCCGAATGCTCAAATAAAAAAAATTGAAACCCAGGAATGTTTAAATACTTGATGAGCTATATTAAAGGTATATTGTAAAGTTCTTATTGTCCAAATATTATTCATTGCATAACTTTGAAAACATGAATAAAAGAGACAGGTATACATACTATACGCCAATGAGTCAGCAACCCAACAAATAAAAAAATCTAAAGACATCATTTTGGCTTCAATAAATGCTGAAGACAAGTTTCTTCAGAAAATTGTCTTGAAATGCCAAGAATCTAGAGAAGTAGTAAATAAATTAAACAGAGATTATCAAAGATGTTCCATCAAAATATAAATAAACAATGGACACAAAAAACCCATTCTGACTAAAAACAATGAAAAGAACTGTCAAATTGACAGCAAACTGGGTTTTCTGTATTTTGATGGCACTGTCAGGTTTGTTTGACCTGTGCCTTTATTATATTCAAATCTATCAAGGTCCAGGAACAGCAAGAGTGAAAAATCAATAATTTGAAAGTGACCTCCATTTTCTCATCAGTAACAACATCTTAAAATTTGAAAAGCTGAAGGTTCGTAAGTTATTGCACACAAACGACAAAAAGTGTTGTTTTCCAATATATCAAGAATTCCTGAATGGTACAAGTGAAAATTGTCAATATCAAATTTAACCTCAATTTTGTCATCAGAAACAACATAGTAAAATTTGAAAAGTATAGGTTGAACAGTTCATAAATTATAGTACAGAAACTGTTGGCAGCGGTCCACACTTCATCAAATTAATAACTGGATTTTTGCTTCAGAAAACCCAGTTATTAACCACTTAAAATGTTCCTGACATATGACAGTCAATCATCTCCTTTTCAACCATTAAAGAAATAACAAAAGATATGTAAAAGATTCTAAAATAACTGATTAATCAGTTTGTCAGTAAGAAGACATATGATCATGACATGTTTGCACCAAAGTGCAAAATCAATTTATATTCTTTTTTAAATATAATTTTTTCAGAGTTATAAAATGACTGCATCTTAAGGAGTGAAATATTTTATGTTAACAAGTTGAATGACTTATTGATTTGTGGAAGAAGGTGGTGTAGATAGAATAGATGAGTGGAACAAGTGTTTATTTTAAATGATGTAGTGATGTAAGAATGTGTGTGGGACAGGTATAATTATTGATTCAGCCTTCATACTGTATTTGTAAATTTCTATAGAAACTCAAAATCATTACTATGTGTAATAATTTTATTTGTTTGCTGATCTTAAATATCATTTTCTAATCAATATGATTGGAATTTCAAATACTTGTCTTCTGTTAACTCTTTTTGGAAATATTTTCATTTTAAAAAACAATTGATAAGGGTTTCAAGTAGTATACAATTTTGTGGTATTATAATCATTTTTCGCCTTGTTTAGGTTGATGAAGATGAACTAGAAGATGCTAGATGGTTTAGACGTCCAGAACTTGTTCAAATGTTGACTAGACAGCACCCTGAAGGACTTTTTGTTCCACCAGAACAAGCTATAGCACATCAAATTATCAAATCTTGGGTTAGAAAGACTACTAATTCTAATTTATAAATAGGTAAAAAATCAGGGATTCAATATTGCAATTTTATTCAAATAGTTTTCCAAATGTAATATGTAAATAGTTTTCCATATTTACAAGTAAGCAAAAACGAAGTTTCATAGAAAATTTTGAAAAATGATTTATTAGTATTTGATTTATAAATGTTAACTTGCCAACTTTTATTTTTTTATTAAATGAATATCATAATCAGTATTTTAAATTGGTTCAGGTAGTCAAAATGGTAGTACAGAGTATGGAGGAATTTGATAAACATTTATATGTGTATTGATACTAACCAGTCATATATTGTACATCGAATTGGAATTTAGTTCAGATTTGAAAAACAAAAAAATTTATCATTTAATTTTATAATCACTATTTTGTCTAGTTCAGCATATCATTTTAGTACAAATTATGTCTAAACTTTATTTAACATCAACATGTTATACTTGAAAAATTACTTACCTGAGGTTGAATATCAATATGATTTATTATAAGAACTGGTAGAAAGTAGAAAATTGGACAAAACCAGTAATAAAAAATTCTAAAAAATCATGGAAGACTCATTGTTACCCAATGGTAAAATTTTGCCAATAACTTTCGCTTATTAAAGTATGACTGAAAATCGAAAAATAATGCATTTTATGATTTATCTCTTTTATTTTCTGAAGTATTACTGAATTAGTTCTATCAAAATAGGTGGACAGTTGTATAGGAAACACATAAAATCGACAAAAAAATGTTTTTAAAATTTGTATTCAAATATCAAATCTCCAACTACAAATGCAAATATTTTTCTTTAAAATTGATATGTTGTTGAATCATGAATTTTGTTTTTTATGATATGAAATAATAGTTAGGTCACCTACTTTGTTTTTACGTTACACAATATTGAAAGTGGTGTTCTAGGTGAAAAAATACAACAAAACGTCAAAATAAGCATGACATCATCATGCAGTAAGCCATAAAAAGTTGATTTTTTATGTTTTTTCACTACCAACTAGGTAATAGATTGGTTGATACATCAAAAATAAAGTTGATGACCTTATCATTATTTTATATCAATGCTTGTGTAATTGAGATTTGATGATTTTAAGACAAATTTGAGAAAGTTTATTGCAAATTTTATGTGCTTTCTATACAAATGTTCACCTGTTTTGAAAGAATTCTTTTAGTAATATTTCAATATATGCATTATTTTTTTGATTTTCAGTTATAGTTCAACGAGCCAAAGCTGTATGCAAAATTTTACCAAAATCTGTATAGCCCATTTACTGTAGCTTAACCATAAATGGTACTGTTATGATTCTCTTAAAGAAAAGGTTGAGCATCCCATTGCTGCCATAGTTACTTAAAAATGGTTAAATGATACAATGTATTAAATTCAGAAATTATTGCGAATTTTAAAGAATGAACAAAAATGTGAGATTAATTTTTTGTCAAAAAGCAAGACTTAGGTATGCTGTTTCTGGTGGCACGGCATCAACAATGTATTAGTTTGTGATTAGGTCAGTTTATGGAGAACCACTAGTGGTAGGTTAATGATATTTGGTATGCAGTTGTATTAGCATTGGCACATCTCATTTCCATGGATATTATTTGGCCCCTCTCCCTCAGTAATGGTCTATTGACTTTGAAACATTTGCTTACTTTACTTGTATTAGTTTGTGGTTAGGTCAGTTTACGAAGAACCACTAGTGGTAGGTCAATGATATTTGGTATGTAGATGCATTAGTATTGGCACATCTCATTTCCATTTTTTCTTGATGTTTGTTAATGTATGATATATACGAACTCTGACTATGAATATCATAATTTTGGGCCAATAATCAAAACAAATGACTATATTTCGTATTTCCCCATTTTCCCCAACTTTATTCGTTCTCTTTACAGATAAACAAAATATAAATAATATGAAACCTGCATGGTTTAGTTTTTGTCCTTGTTTCTTTTACTTAAAATTTGAAAGAACATCCCGTAATCCAATTTTGACATTATTGAGGGACGATAAGACCTTGAAAACGGGATTTCATGTTATTTAATTCGGGACTACGGGTTTTCGTGTCTTTTAATTCGAGATTTCGGGATCGGACCCCCTTCATTATTCCATTGTCGACCTACTGACTATTTCCAGAAATAATCTGAAATCATGGACCTACACGTAAACGGCGAAAACTCCAGTCCAATTTCCCTGTATCCATAAAAAAAAAAACCTAAAAATCAATATTCCTAGAATAACATAAAATAATATACTAGTTATATCCAATTTGCCGTATCCATAACATTAAAAGGTAGCATGTGGCAAAAAGAAAAAAACTAAAAATAATATTCCTAAAATAATATAAAATGACATAGGGGGTACCCCCATACCTCAGTGAATTCAGATGAAAAAGATATGATTATCCGATATTATAAGACTTGTTCTTCTGCTTTTATTAACTCTCCCAGTGACGAGTGTTTGCTTTGAACGTTCTTTTTCTGCCTTGAGACGACTGAAAATTGGGAAAGAGCATGCATGCATGAGTGTAGTCCAAATAATAAAGACATCTTGAAAGGTTATTATATTTTTTCTGGGACGTAGTCCAAATAATTATGACGTTTTGAAAGGCTATTATATTTTTTTTCTAGGACGAAGGCATCCCAGAAGAAAAATATAATAGCCTTTCAAGACGTCATAATTATTTGGACTAGCATGAGTGATGAGAGACTGTGCGGTCTTGCCATGCTCCATGTTCATAGAAATAAGGATGTCAGCATACCAAATATTCTGAAAAGATTTTACGAAACCGGCCATAGAAAAATTGGTAAACTCCAATTTGAATAACAATTGCTACTGAGTCAATGTTTGTTCTGTGTTCTGGCGGCAGACTCAAATTGATATTTGGATGTTTATCCGACATATAAATTTAGACAGCTTGTTTCAACAATGTCAAGCTCTCTGGAAATGCCAGAATGCAGGATTTTACACCATTTATCCCAGACCCCTGCCGAAATTTTTGGCCTCACTATACTCAGCTCTATTTTTTCACTTCTCTCTGCTCGGTGATTAGTTCTGCCTCAGTGAAATAATATGCCTAGTTACGGCCTTGTTAAGAATTATTTTCTGAAGATTTATAGAAGTTAAACGGACTATACTATCGAAATTACTAAAAGGCAAGACATATCTCTGTGTCAACAGTTTATGCAATTTCAGGAAAATCTGCATACAGATATATGTAATGATGTCCCATTTCTTACTTAGAATAGAAAAATTGACAAAAAATCAACAACAACAAAAATTTCTGAAAACTTTTGTGAAGAACCAATTACTACCAAACATTTGTTGAATGAATTAAAAGCATTTCATCAAACCATAGATGTATAAATGCCACACCATTTTTATCATCAATTATCAAATTTTCACATGTAATTTGCAGATATGAAAAAATAATTAGTCTTGAATTCAAGTTGATGGTGTCAATTATTATCACATATAGTTTCTAAGTAAATCAAAAGTTTATATATTCTAATAGTTCTATAATCTATGATTTGAAGTAAAAAGGATGGATATCACTTTTAAACAGTAGAGAAGAAAATATGATAGAACAAGTATTGTATAAGTTTCTTTTCCTTGTGGAAATAATTGAATAAAATTCATAACAAGCTATGTATTGATCAAGAATGGTCTCTGGAACATTTTTCAGATATATGCAAAGGGAGACAATTCAGTCTTATCTGAAATTATGAGTACAAAATATTGACTGTTTGTAAAGAAATTATTTGATGTGATAGTTTACAAAATATGGATATGCTGCTTTTTGTCATCAAGTCAGATTTTTCTGTCTCACACAATCAACTTTGCTTTGATTTTTTAAGACCTTTTTAAAAAGTTCATTTGTACTATAAACCATTAAAAAATTAATATTTGGAATTTCATTACATTAAAATCTGAATGAGTATCTCATTGGCCAAGGGTATTATGAGGCCTTCAATCTTGTTAAAGTCATGCCCTACTGACTATGAAGAATACGCATTGTTCAGTGTAAGTATTTATGACCAGGTAAGTACAAGAAGCACTAAGAAAGCAGATATAAATTCATTGATTTTTGTCGCCTGCCACAAATGTCGCAGTATGCTAGACCTAGGTATTACTATCCAGCGGTAGAGGCCGCGTAAACTATTTGTATAAAGCTTCATATTTTAGAAGGTGTAAGACCTGTATACAGATACCTTATGTGACGAAATTTCTGTCTGTCATATGTCCATTGTCCATGACCTCGTTTTCATGCTTCAGCGACTGCTTGAAAAAAAATTATAGTTTTTCAGTCATGTGAATTTCTCACTTATGAGTAATAGGATAACTATATTTGGTATATGGGTTCCTTGCAACGTCTACATGTCCGCCCGATAGGGTTCACCTGACCTTGACCTCATTTCATTGATCAATGATCAAGGTTAAAGTTAAGTAATTAGGTCCATTTCTCAAATACTATAAGCAATAGCTCAACTATATGTGGTGTATGGAATGATTGTAATGGGTACATGTCAGGCAGGTTTCATCTGACTTTGACCTCATTTTCATGGTTCATTGGACAATGTTAAGTTTTTGTGTTTTGGTCTGTTTTTCAAGTACTATAAGCAATAGGTCAACTATATTTGGTGTATGGAATGATTGTAAAGTGTACATGTCTGTCTGGCAAGTATCATCTGACCTTGACCTCATTTTCATGGTTCATTGGTCAATATTAAGTTTTTGTGTTTTGGTCTGGTTTTCGAGTACTATATAGTAATAGGTCAGCTATGTATGGTGTATAGAATAACTGTAAGGTGTACATGTCTGTCTGACAGGATTTATCTGACCTTGACCTCTTTCTAATAGATCTTTAAAAATGTTAAGTTTATGTGATACTTTCAGTAAAACTTTTATCTTTAAGACTTTCAACATAAAATCAATGGTCAGTAAAGGTGTAATACCACCATTGATTTTCCCCTATTAATCTTTGTTAAATTTGCACTTTTCAAAAAATTGTACAGAATTTATCTTTGTTTCAAATAAAGAAATACTTGGCATGAGTGAAGTTTTATCCTGTCCAGTACTATAGAAAAAATTTCACATAACATTTCATTGCATATAAGAAAATAACCATCACTGGAAGTTAACCAATCAAATTTTCCCCCTTATTTAACCTGTGTACAAGCTTTAGTAACCATGTAACCTCAAGTTTCCAAAATATTCTATAGAAACCCCAAATAAAAAAATAATGGTGCTTTGAAATACCCAAGATATATGTTTATGACACAGAAATGTTTTACTGCAATAAAATGTAGGATTAATTACCTACAACTGTCAAATTCAAGGGAATATTTTTTTTTCGACCTATTTTCGTATGCAACCGGACACATCCATGATTTGGTGGTACATGTATTACACCTAAAGCAGGCGAGACATTTCAGCATGTGCACTCTTGTTTTTTTTTTATTGTTTTATATTGTTTTTCTATTATACTGTAGTTTATAAAGTTGTTTTTTTTAATTTGCTGAAAAGCAGGTGATATATTAATTTAGTCGGCATTCTATAAGTTCACCTTGCATATTTTGGATTTTGGGCTCCTTTAATTTAATTGGTCCACATTAAGGTCCAAAAGGTCCTAAATTAAACTTTTGTTTGATTTCGTAAAAAAAATGAAATGTTGGGGTTCTTTGATATGCCGTGATTCTAACAATGTACTTAGATTTTGGATATTGGACCATAATAGGTAAATGTCCAATTTCAAATTTTTCAGTTCTTTGACCACATTCATTTTGTGTCACAAACCTATGCTGTGTCAAATATTCAATCACAATCCAAATTCAATGCTGTGTTAAGCTTAAATGTAGTGTCCATACTTGCTCAACTGTTCAGGGTTCGACCTCTGCAGGAAATCCGGGTGGCTGTTACTCTGACAGTATCTTGTTGTAGGGATTATCTTACTGTGACATCATTTTAATGGTTCATTGGTCAACTTTTAAGTTTTCTCTATGAGGTCTGATTCTCAGATACTATTTCACGAGGGGTCGTTTCTCATACTATAAGAAATAGGTCCAATATATTTAGTATATGGAATGATTGTTAGGTACTTATTTGGCCTTGACCTCATTTTCATGGTTATTTTATTTCGAGGTTAAGTTTGTCTGATAAGTTTGTTTCTTGTTTTGTATGTGCAATAGGTCTGCTATGCATGGCTTATTGAATGATTTTAATGTGTGCTTGTCCGTCTAGTATGGATATCATTTTGATGGTTCATTGGTCATTGTTGAGTTTTATTCATCAGGTCCCTTTCTCAAAGACTATATGTAATCGGTTAAGTATATTAGATGTATGGAATGACTGTGAAGTGTATGTGTCTGTCTGGCAACGTTCATCAGACTTTGACTTCTTTTCCACGGTTTGTTAATAGAATGGTTTCTCAGATACTACATGAAATATGTCAACTATAGTTCTAGCAAACATGACAATCATTTTTTGCCCTCCCCATTTTTCCCTCCAAAATTCGTTATTTGATGTTTTCTTTAAATTTCAATTATTTTCAAGTTTTTATACGACCGCAAATTGTATATTGGTAATACGTCGTCGTCGTCGTCAGCGTCGTCGGCGTCAGGGGCGGATCCAGGATTTTGGAAAGGGGGGGCGCAGTATGAAAGTCCGCCGAATTTTTTTGGACCTTTTTTTGGCTAAAAAACATAAAATAAGTGTAAAATGCAATTTTATAGTTAACGTGTAGGGGTTGGACATTTTTGGTGCCGTATTCTCTCCATTAATTGTCTATTATAAAATGATTGGATGGATCCAAAGCTATGTACTAATTAATATATTTGATGTGGGATTTGTCAGTAAAAAATGGACATGGAAAATTCTCGTTTGTTGTATGGTTAGTTAGCATAACCTCACATATTTCTTGTTGTAAATAAGATATACGGCTATTCAATGAAATTTACAATACGACCGACACGAAGAAAGACAAACAAGCAATTTTTATCCAAATGTTTGGTTGAAATGTTTCAACCAACAAGGGAAGTGAGGGGTTCCAAATCAACCAAAGGCTACGAATGAGTCGGAAATGACAATGAAGTGACACATGGAGACATATAGGCCACACCCAGCAGGCAGGTTGCAGTCGGGCCTTGAAAAAAGTATTCAGTATATCAGTTCGGCGAAACAGACATTCCGGTCAGATATGGGATTCACATGCACCCCCCCCCACCCCCCAAAAAAAAATTACGCCCGTTTTTTATTCATCATGTTCATTTAATGCTAAATAATTTTGTTGAACATATTTTTTTCTAATAGCAAAAAAGTGGACAAGATTATTGTTTTCAATCCAGATACGGCCAGAATTTTTGTTTAAGGCAAAAATCAGGGTCAGAATTTTTTCTCTAAAATATCTCAGACTATAACCCCTCAAATCAAATGGTCCGTACCATAGACTTTAAATCTATATCTAGAGCTTACTGACTGGGGATCACTATTCAGCAATGTTATTAATGGGCTGGGGCGTGTGGGGTTAAACATGTTTTCGTAGGTAAATAATATTGCTGTGGAACTTTTCTTTTCATGAGAGTGTAATAGAGTATTACTTTCTGTTGGGTGGAATTGTGAAATAGAAGTCAATACTTTGTCGCTTTGAAGGCGTCATGCTTGTCATCCTCAGCCTAAGCAATGTGTTACTGTAATTTGAATTTCAAAATGACTGAGTGACGTTTTTTTCGACGTACTGGTCAACTCCACCGTAGCGAATCACATGACTTTGACATAATCAATAATATATTACATTAAATACGAGCGAAAAATATCTTTATAAGTAAAGAATTGTCGCATAAAAATTAAATACACGGGAAATGGCATAGTTCGCGAAGTCTAGTCTGATTAATCATTTTACAAAAAAAAAAGTGCAAGCAAAAGGGGGGGGGGCGTACGCCCTCTACGCCCCCATCTGGATCCGCCACTGGGCGTCGTTAGAAGACATTTGGTTTCCGGGACAATAACTTTAGTTTAAGTGTGTGGATCTCTATGAAATTTCACCAAAAGGTTCAATACCACAAAAGGAAGGTTGGGATTGTTTTTGGGACCGTACTTTGACCTATAATTCTTTATTTTTTACACATTGTAACTTGGATGGAGAGTTGTCTCATTGGCACTCATACCACATCTTCTTATTTCTACAGAAAACAACTCAAGTCAATAACAAATCACCAATGTGTTAGAGCTTATTTTGATAAAATTGAACAAACCTCACTGTTAATAGTGAAATATTATCTCAATATTCCGCTTTTATAAATGAACAAATAAAATCATATTTATTTGGTTTTGTCTAAACGGTTGCTAATGCCCCTTTTAAAAACACAAACATCTTTATTATTTTCATATAAAAGTCATATTTCTATGACCATATTTAAAGGTCCAGTAAGATTTGGTATTTTATAAGACACAAAAGAGGGTCTCAAAACTGTTGGAAATGAAATTTAGACTGACAATATAAAAAATAAGAAGATGTGGTATGATTTCCAATGAGACAACTCTCCACAAGAGACAAAATGATGCAGAAATTAACAACTATGGGTCACCGTACTGCCTTCAACAATGAGAAAAACCCATACCGCAAAGTCAGCTATAAAAGGCCCCGAAA